CCGCCCCGTCAGCCCTGTGCTCACGGCTCTTCCTCCCTCCTCTTCCTCCCCAGGGTGAAACAGGTCCCCAGGGAGCTCGTGGCAGCGAAGGTCCCCAAGGTGCCCGTGGTGAGCCCGGTCCCCCCGGCCCTGCTGGCGCTGCCGGTCCTGCTGTAAGTGGCATCTGACGACTCCTTGTCCTTCGGCCTCCTGTCCTGCCAGCCCCGGCGTAACCCTCCTCCTCCTCTTTCTCTCCACAGGGCAACCCCGGTGCTGACGGTCAACCCGGTGCCAAGGGCGCAACCGTGAGTGTCCCTCGCCCCCCGCCTGGCTGTGGGATGAGGGTCCGTGCTGCTCCCTCACCACCTCCTCTGCTTCTTCTAGGGTGCTCCTGGCATTGCTGGCGCTCCCGGCTTCCCCGGTGCCCGTGGTCCCTCCGGACCCCAAGGTCCCAGCGGTGCCCCCGGTCCCAAGGGTAACACTGTGAGTATCCCCAGACACCTCCGTCCGCCTCCTCCAGGGGTTGGCTACCTTCTCCTGCCCCACCAAGCTGCTGTCCCACCTGGAGGTGTCTCCTCTGGCATCCCTCCTGCCGGCACAGGATGGTGCTGGGGGCTGACAGACGCTGAGCATCCCCCCTCCTGCTGAGGGGCAGCGCAGGATGCGGCTCAGGGCTCCCTTTGCTCATCAATCCGGTGTTAAACGGCATTTCCCTCTTCTCTCCTTCCACCTCCAGGGTGAACCCGGTGCTCCAGGCAACAAGGGAGACACTGGTGCCAAAGGCGAACCCGTAAGTGACCCCCCCACACACACGTTTCCTCAGAGGCTCAGCCCCTCCTGGCTCCCATGGGTGCTCCCGTGGGTGCTGCTGTGGGTGCTCATCCCTCCACCTCCTTCCCCAGGGTCCCGCTGGTGTCCAAGGTCCCCCCGGCCCAGCCGGCGAAGAAGGCAAGAGAGGAGCTCGTGGTGAGCCCGGCCCCGCTGGGCTTCCTGGCCCCGCCGGCGAACGTGTGAGTAGGATCAGTCCCTGTCCCATCCCCGCCATGTCCCTGTCCCCATCCCTCTTCCCCCCCATCTCCCGACGTCCAGCGGCTGAGCCTCATGGGTGCTGGGGGATGGTGACATCCCCGGTCCCTTCCAACGCCCCACCGAGGGCCCCAGTGGAGCAGCTCAGCAGGGACACCAGCCTGCTCCTGCGCGCCCCCCTGCCACATCCGCACGTCCTTTCCCTGCGCCCCCGACCCCCCTGAGGTCACCCCGTGTCTCCACGCTGACCCCTCTCCTGTCCCTCGCAGGGCGCTCCCGGCAGCCGCGGTTTCCCCGGCGCTGATGGCATCGCTGGTCCCAAGGTAGGTGCCCACCTCTCCCTCCGGGACAGAAAACCGTGTCCTCAACGGGGCAGTGGGGACACCGTGCATTTGTCACCCATCCCCACACGGTGGCGAAACCATCTCTGTGCCACTGCCACCTCCGGTGACACGGATCCGGTCCCCATCCCCGGGTGATGTCCTGCAGCCGGGGTAACCTCTGTCCCCTCTCCCACCCCTCCCCAGGGTCCCCCCGGGGAGCGTGGCTCCCCCGGCCCCGTTGGCCCCAAAGGATCTCCTGGTGAAGCTGGACGCCCCGGGGAACCCGGTCTCCCCGGTGCCAAGGTGAGCGCGGCG